AAGAGATCAGAGGAGAAGGCCCCCTCTTATCGGCCGTAGGGGGGGGGGGTCTTGAGGGCGACTCTCCGCCATCTCGGAGTGGTCCTGGGGCCGCGCTTCGGAGCTCCGTGGGGGCTGTGGGAGCCTCTTCCTGGGACCGCTCTCGGGAGCTCCGCGGGAGCTGTCGGAGTCGATTGACAAGCGTCACGGGTCTTGTGGGCGACTCTGGGGCATCGCGGAGTGGTCCCGGGACCGCTCCGTGGATCTCCGTGGGGACTGTCGGAGTCTCCTGGGAGGCTCTGGGGCATCTCGGAGTGGTCTGGGGCCTGCCTCGGGGGTCCGGGACTTTCTTGGGGGCGCTTGGGGTTCGAGAGGCGGCGAAAGGGTGCCGTGACTCGATGCACTCTCCTTGGGTGTTGGGTAGCTCCCAGGGCCCTCTTGGGGCTGTCTTGGGGGCCACCGAGAGCTGTATGAGGCTATCTGGGGCTTCTCTTGGACAATCTTCGGGCCCTCGGTGGTCTTGGGACACTTGGCGGGGTCTTCTGGACCGTCTTGGGGCGATCTGGGATGGCCCCGGAGCCGTTTGGGGCCGTTCTTGGCCCGAAATGGCGAGAACATGGAAAACCTTCGGACACCGAAAGAAAATCTATGATGGTGGCCTCGGGTGACCGCCATCGGGGTCGGGTTCGGCCGTTTTCGGAGGCACCTGGCCCGTCGTCGGGCTGTCATGGGGCTCCGTTCGGGTTCTCTTGGGCCGTCCTCGCGCGCTCCGGAGCGCCTCAGAGTTCTCTTGGGACTCTCAGGAGCCGTCTTGAGGCCACTTGGGGGCTCTCTGGAGCAGCCGGAGAGCGCCGGGGTGCTTCGGCGCTCGGGGGGCAGCTCGCGACCTTGGCGCCCCTGTCGCACGCGCAGCGACAAGAACTGTACCGTCGGGGCGTTGACCTAAGGAACCCTACATATAAGGAACGAGGCCCCTTTTTTCTATAAGTTAAACTTCGATTTCCTACCGAAACCATAAGGAAAACCTGAGGCAGGCTGTGAAACACTTGAGGAACGCGGAGCCCCTCCCCAACGAAAAGGGTTCCTTCTTCAGGGCCCCGACTGTGGTACAGATGACGTCGGGCTCCGCATCCGCCTTCCGCATCTCGCTCAGCAGGGCCAGCGCCCGCCACCACTGCTCGCCCTTCTCGCACGCGCTGATCCCAGCACTGTAGCTGACTAGGGCTGACCCGCGGCCTTCCGGCCGCGGAATCTGCCCGCCATGGCTTGGACGTGGAAGTGGAGCGTCTCTGGGGCCTCGCGGGTAAGGGGAGGTTGGAGGGGACGGTGTGGATGGAGGAGGTGGCCGCTGGAGGGGGAGGTGGGCGAGGGATGCAGGCAAGCAGGCCTGAAGGCAGGAACGCGGTGGTGGAGGCGGTGTCAATGGAAGCGCACCCATGTAGGCATGACAGCTGTTTCTGACGCCACAGTCTGTGTTCATCATAGCTTCTGCGGGGAAGGCAGCCGTGAGAAGTTATCTGCTCTTCGCCGGGGCCGAATGATAATTTGATGTGGTAGTGTGGTGACAATGAGGCCAGTGGGCGCGGCCTAGGAGGCCCGCAAGAGGGCGGCGAGACGTAACTCCCTAAGACGGGCCCCAGTGCGAGGACACGAATCGACCTTTCGAGCGCACCGCCTCAAGACGTCCCCAAATGGCGCAGAGATGGCTCGCAGTGGGTCCAAGAAGCCCCCAAGACGATACTGGAAGTTCGACGCTCCCCAAGAGAGAAGCATCCAACGCCCCTTGGGGGCCGCTTGGGGGCCCTTTTCGTCCTCCTGGGGTTCTCTTGAAGCCCTCTTGGGCAATCTTGAGTGCGCCTTGGGCCGTCTTGGGGCGATGTGGGGCCGTCTTGGGCGCCTCTCGGCATCTTGGGACAGTCTTGGAGCTATCTTGGGCACATATTGGGCGCTCTTGGGGTTGTCTTTGGTGTTTCTTGAGCCGTCTCGGGCGCCTCTGGAGCCATCCCTGACGGCCCAGAGACCGTCTTGGAGACTGTCCAAACGGAAAGGCTTGGAGACGGGGCGGTGGGGGCATCTACAGCCGTCTTGGAGACGGGGCGGTGGGGCCGTCTTGGGCCATTGTTAACTGCTTTGGGGGCTGCCTTGGGTGCGTTTTGGGCCGTCTCGGGGCCCTCCTGGGGCCCTCCTGGGAAGCCTCTTCGGCGTCTCTTGGGCCGTCGTCGTAGAGGCGTCTTGGGCCGTCTTGGCGCCGCAAAAGGTAATCTTGGCTTGACGTGGAGCGCTCTTGGAGCGTCTTGGGGATACCTGGGGCCGTCCTGGGAGCCTCTTGGTGTCACCCTGGGGCCGTTGTGGGCGCCTCTTGGGCTCTCTTGACGCCCTCTCGGGCCGGTTTTCGTGCGTCTTGGGGGCCTCTTGTGCCATCTTGGGGCGGTCGTGGGGACCTGGAACCAGCTTCTGCGCCATATTCCCGTGAAGCAGCGCATGCTGGAAGTGAGCGCTTGTCTTCGGGAAAACAATGATTTTCGCCTCTGGGGGCCATCCTTGGACGCCTCTTGGGCGTCTCTGGGGCCGTCGTGGAGGCCTCCTGGGCCGTCTTGGATGTGTTTTCGGCGGTCTTGGGCTGTCTTGGAGCGCTCTTGGGCCGTCTTGGGGGTGTCTGGGGCCGTCCTGGGCGCCTCCTGGGAGCCTCTTGGGGCCGCCTGGGGGCCGTGTTGGGCGCCTCTTGGGTCTCTGGACGCTTTCGCGGGCCGGTTTTCGTGCCTCTGGGGGGCCTCTTGGGCCGTCTTGGGGCGGTCGTGGGGGCCTCTTGTCCCATCTTCTGCGCCATACTCCCGACAAGCAGTGTGTGTGTGTGTGTGTGTGTGTGTGTGTGTGTGTGTGTGTGTGTGTGTGTGTGTGTGTGTGTGTGTGTGTGTGTGTGTGTGTGTGTGTGTGTGTGTGTGTGGGGTGTGTGTGTGTGTGTGTGTGTGTGTGTGTGTGTGTGTGTGTGTGTGTGCGTGTGCGTGTGCGTGTGCGTGTGCGTGTGCGTGTGCGTGTGGTGTGTGTGTGTGTGTGTGTGTGTGTGTGGGTGTTTTGTGTGTGTGTGTCGTGTGTGTGTGTGTGTGAGGTCTGTGTCTGTCTGTCGTCTGTGTCTGTTGGTGTGTGTGCTAAAATTTGACGTTTTTCGTTGGAGAAACAATGATGTGGTGTGGGGGCCATCCTGGGACGCCTCTTGAGCGTCTCTGGGGCCGTCGTGGAGGCCTCCTGGGCCTTGTCGGGGCCGTTTTCGGCGGTCTGGAGCTCTCTTGGAGCGCTCTTGGGCCGTTTTGGTGGTGTCTGGGGCCGTCCTGGGCGCCTCTGGGGCCGCGTGAGCGCCTCTGGGGCGTCCCCGGAGCCGTTGTGGGGCATTTTACGCCCATCAAGACAGGGACCCTTCCCGCACGCACGGGTCCCTGCATTGTAAAGAAGACTAGGGCGAACCCGTGGACTCCGTCCACGTCATCTTGGGCCAATCTTGGCTCGAAAGGGCCGTCTTGGGCCTGTCTTCGCTCGAGATGGCGAGAGGGTGGAAATCTTTCAGAAGCCATAAAAAAGGATTCGATGATTTCGTTTGCCGCGGCTCGTCTGGAGCGTCTTCGAGCGGTCTTGGGCCGTCTCGGAGGCCCTCTTGGACCGCTTCCTTCTCTTCGTCCACCTTCCGCTCTACCTCCGCCTAGACAGCCGTCGGAGCGTCACAGACGGCTATGGTGGGTCTGCGGTGTACGTCTCGCCGCTTGTCAATTTTGAAAGCGCCTGGGGCCTTGAAAAAAGTCACTCAGGGGGCTCTGGTGACTTTTTTCCGGTTGCCTCTTCGAAGCCTGATGGCGGGCGCTGCCGTCTCCTTGGGAACGGTTAGTGGGCCTCTGGGGGTTTCTTTTCGAGCTCCTGGGGGCCTGTTGGGGCTTCGTTGGCTGTCTTGCGGCCTCCTAGGGGCCTCTTGGGGCCCTCTTGGGCCGTCTTGCGGCCTCCTGGGGGCCTTTTCTCTTGAAGTTGTTTTGGGCGCCTCTGGGGTCGTTCCCGGGCTGTCCCCCCGAGCCTCTTCCGGGGACAGCCCAGGAAATCAATTGTGCTTGCGTGCTGTGCGTGTGCTCCTGTGTGCGAGGTCGGAAGGGTGTCCCGACGTCACCGCTCGCTCTTGGGAGCTGTGCCTGGGAGAGCTCTGTACGCTGAGTCTCGCTCTTGGGAGCCTTGGTGAGAAGAGCTTTGTACTTCACCGATCGCTCTTTTAGTGGGCGTCTCTGGGTCTGCTTGGTGGTCCTTGTCTGGTGCTTTTTTGGGCTGCTCTGGGGACGTTTTGGGACGTTTTGTAGCTTTTTTGGGCCGTCACGGGGCGTCCGGGAGGCCTTGGACCGTTTTGGAGCTCTCTTCAGGCTGCCTGAGGCCGTCTTGGGAGCCTCTTGGGGCCCCCTCGGAGCTCTTTTGGGGCTCTGTGAGGCCGTTTCAAGGCTCTCTGGCGTCGTCTTGGGGCTCTTGTGGGCTGTCTTGGAGCCCTCTGAGGGGCCGCTGGCGTCTTCTTGAGGCGATTAGTGAGGCCTCTTGACGTGTCCTGGGCTGCTGAGGAGCACACACGGCGGGCATGCTCACATTATACGTTTTCCCATCGCACTTTGACGATTTGTGCCTCTTTGGCGTGCCCTCGGGGCCCTCTCGGGGCGGCTTTGCAGCCTCTTGGATCGTCGTGGGGAGCCCCCCCTGGACGGCTTCGGGCCCTCGTGGGCCGTCTCGGGACCCACTGAGGCCGTCTTGGAGCGCTCTTGGACGGTCTGGGACCCTTGGAGGAGGAGGAGGAGGAGGAGGAGGAGGAGGAGGAGGTGGAGGAGGAGGAGGAGGAGGAGGAGGAGGAGGAGGAGGAGGAGGTGGAGCGCTCTTGGACGGTCTTGGAGCGCCTCTGGTACCGGCCTGAACGATTCGGCCCCGTGGTGGCACGCGCGGCGATTTTGTGCACACTGGGACCTGCGAGCCATTCTCGCACGCAGATCCACTGGCCATGCAGGAGAGATAGCTTCGGGCTTCAGCTTCGCCTTCCGCATCTCGCTGAGCAGCGCAAGCGCCCGCTGCCACTGCTCGCCCTTCTCGCACGAACTGATCCCAGCGTTGTAGGAAATGACGTTGGGCTTCAGCTTCGCCTCCCGCATCTCGCTCAGCAGCGCGAGCGCCCGCTGCCACTGCTCGCCCTTCTCGCACGCGCTGACCCCAGCGCTGTAGCTGATGACGTCGGGGTCCAGCTTTGCTTCCCACATCTCGCTCAGCAGCGCCAGCGCCCGCTGCCACTGCTCGCGCTTCTCGCACGCGCTGATCCCAGCGCTGTAGCTGATGACGTTGGGCTCCAGCTTCGCCTCCCGCATCTCGCTCAGCAGCGCCAGCGCCCGCTGCCACTGCTCGCCCTTCTCGCACGCGCTGACCCCAGCGCTGTAGCTGACTAGGGCAGACCTGTGGACTCCGTCCACGACATCAGCTCGACGTGGCGAGGGGTCTCTGGGCAAGCGCGGGGGGGTGCGGCTGCAGGGCCGAAAGGCAATCATGATGGCGTCGGGCTCCAGCTTGGCTTTCCACATCTCGCAGTGCAGCGCCAGGCACCTCCTCCTCCTCCTCCTCCTCCTTCTCCTCCTCCTCTTCCACCTTCTCCTCCTCTTTCGCTCGATTCTCCATGCCCCCGGTCGGCAATCGTCGATCCTACGACGACTCTCCCCAACAGAGAAACATCGAAGGCCCTCGGAGCGTCCAACATTGTTATTTTGTGCCTTGGATATGCCGGTCGCCTCTCGTCCGCTCCCCCCCTCCTGGAAGCAATTCTGAGGCCACTTCGGGCTTCGTGGGGGCCGTTTGGGGATCTCTTGGGGCGTTTGTGCTGCCCCTGGGAGCCCTGTCGCCTCTCGTCGTCCCGCTCCTGGAGGGGGAATCTGAAGCCACTGAAGGGCTTCGTGGGGGCCGTTTCGGAGCCTCTTCGGCCCTCTTTTGGGCCTCCCGGGGGGGCTCTTAGGGCCCTCTTGGGCCGTCTTGGGTGCCTCTTGGGCCGTCTTGGGGCCGTCTGAAGCCGGCTTCGGCGCCTCTTGGGCTGGCTTGGGCCGTCTTGGGCCGCTCCTGGGGCCGTCTTGGGTGCCTCTTGGGCCGTCTTGGGCGCCTCCTGGGCCGTCCTGGGGCCGTCCTGGGCCGTCTTGGGGCCGTCTTGGGGCCCTCTTGGCCCGTCTTGGGGCTCTCTTGGGGTCCTCTTCGGCCGTCTTGGAGCGGTCTGGGGGACGTCTTGGGCCGTCTTGGAGCGTCGGGAAGCCGAAAAGGCGAGGAGGCCGAAACCATCGAAAAACAAAATGGAAATCGACGGTTTCTGCCGCTCGGGGCCCTCTTGGGACGCCTCTTGGGAGGCCTCTTGGGGAGTCTTGGAGGCCTCTGGAGCCGTCTTGGGCCAATCTCGAGCGTCTTGGGCCCCTCGCTGGGCGTGCCGGGGCCCTCCGGGGCCGTCTTGGGGGCCTCTTGGGGCCCCCTTGGCGTGTCTTGGGGCCTCCCGGGGCGGCCCGGTGCCAGCCCGGGGCGATTATTGGTCACTTGATACTGCGCCCTTCTGGTACGCACTGGGCCCTGCAATGTAGTAGAGATGACATTGGGTTTCAGCTTCGCCTCCCACATCTCGCTCAGCAGCGCCAGCGCCCGCTGCCACTGCTCGCGCTTCTCGCACGCGCTGATCCCAGCGTTGTAGCTGATGACGTTGGGCTCCAGCTTCGCCTCCCGCATCTCGCTCAGCAGCGCCAGCGCCCGCTGCCACTGCTCGCCCTTCTCGCACGCGCTGATCCCAGCATTGTAGCTGACTAGGGCTGACCCGTGGACTACGTCCACTTGCGGGGTGGAGGGGGTGCTGCTGCAAGGCGATCAGGATGAATGGCGTCGTGTTCGCCTGCCACACATCGCTGAGCGAGGAGACGGAGGAGCGTCTGGACGCCCCACCTGGGGCGCTCGGGTGCTCCCTTGCGATCGGGTCGGGCTTTGTCGGTGCGTTGGGTCCGACCATCTCGGGGCGTTCTGGGGCCGTCTGGGGGCCCTCTGAGGGGCCCCAAGATCACCAACACGCCTCCAAGATAGCTCCATAATGACCGCCCGCCCAGAATCGGCGCGACCGATTCTGGGCCACCGCGCCGCCGACCCAGAATCCCGCCCGACGCTCCCTTGGCGGCCGCGCGCGCTTCCGGGGTCGGCCGAGGCGATTCTGGGCCACCAGAAGAGCGAAACACGGCATGGCCCCAAGAGGCCGCGGAGAGGGCTCCAGACCGACAAAAAGGGCGAGGGATTTTGAGGCCAAATCCGGCAGGGAGCGCCAAACAAGCATCAGAGGCCCATGGTGCGCTGGAAGCCGTTTTTGGACCGTCTGCGGCCGTCTTTGACCGCTGTTGGTGCTGTCTTCGGTGCTTCTTGGGCCGTGATCTTGGGTCCCCTGGGGGTCGTTTTGGAGCCTCTCAGCGCTTCTTTTCGGCCTCCTGGAAGCCTCCTGGGCTTGGGCTGTCTCGGGTGCCTCTTGGGCAGTGTGGAGGGGGTCCGGGGCCGTCTGAGGGTTGTCTGGGGCCGTCTTGGACGTCTCTGGAGCAGTCTGGACACCGTCTGGGGGTCGTCTAAACCACATTTAAAAAAAACCTGCGGAAGATCGATATTGAGCAGGGACCGACCGTCCCGGCGTTCCTATAGTCCTACCACGAAATGTTCTTAGAACCCAAAATGTTCTAAGAGCAAAACAATGTTCTTAGAACATGGACCCGATGTGATAAAACAAGACAGACTCCGCCAGAAATGCTCTAAGAACCTTTCGTGGAACCCACAAGAGGTTCTTAGACCATTGTTTGGTGGGGCTATAAGCGAGCCAGGACGCTTCGCCACTGCTTAACGATAATGTTGCGTCCTCGCGGCCCTCCTGGAGGCTCTCGCGGAGGCCTGCGGTGCAGCATTGGGTCCTCGGGCCGCAGAAGTAGACACCAGAGAAACCACATAAAAAACACCTGGGAAATATCGATCGATAGTGTTGCGCCCTCGCGGCCCTCCTGGAGGCTCTCGCGGAGGCCTGTGGAGCTGGGTCTGGTCCAAGGCGTACCTTTTCCTGTGCAAGCTCTTCGGCACCGCCTGCACCCCGCACCCTCCGGCCGCCTGAGGCCCCGCCCGCCCGCGCCCTGTCTCCCCAATGAGTGCTTTGCGCGCCCCGCCTAGCTCTTAACCGGAAGAGGCCCGCTCTCGACCCGCCGACCCGCCGGCCAGGGGTTAGGAAGGAGGAGCAGGAGGAGGAGGAGGAGGAGGAGGAGGAGGAGGAGGAGGAGAAGGAGGAGGAGGAGAAGGAGGAGGAGGGGGAGGAGGAGGAGGAGGAGGATTTCGTGTTTGGCCCCTCTGGCACGCGGACTGCCCGGCCTGGCGTTGTGGGTGAGATGGCGTCGGCCTCCAGCTTCGCCTGCCGCATCTCGCTGAGCAGCGCCAGCGCCCGCTGCCACTGCTCGCCCTTCGCGCACGCGCTGATCCCAGCGCTGTAGCTGACTAGGGCTGACCCGTGGACTCCGTCCACGACATCTTTCTGGAATGGTTCTCGGAGGAACGGCGCAGATTGTACCGAAAATCTACAAACACGGCGGCGGCTCGGGCGGCGGCAGCGAGACCGCGACTTCGTGTCCGAGCTCTTGCAGCGCTGCAGCAGCTTGGCCCAGCGCACTGCTCGTTCACCCCCCTCCTATTGAGGACAGTTTCGAAGTCTCTCGGGGATGTGCGTCGAAGTCGAAGCCCATCTGAGGCGTCTCAGGAGCGCTCGGGGAAGGGCTCGGGAGGCCATCGGGGAAAGCCACCGAAAGCGCCGGGGAGGCTCGCAAGGATCTACAGGGAGGGCCCAAGAGAGCTTCAAGAAAATTTGAAATCCAGTGAACTATTAAGAGAAACCGCTGTTGGGTCGGCCATCACCTCCGGGCGCGCCTTGATGGTGCGATCCAGTCGCATCACCGCCAACGGGAGGGTTTGTTCGCCATGTCCCATTCTGTTCGCCCAGAGGGTCTGTGGAGGCCTTCGGGCGAACAGAACGGGACAGGGCAAGGAATGGGAAGACATGTCCGAATCTCCTGGGCCCCCCAGATGCTCGTCCAAAGAATGCGGAGAGGTCCCAGGGTCATATCAATTGGCTGCTGTCCCAGGGGTCCGGTCTGCTTGGCCCGAAGAGTTTGCCAAGGCCCCTGGGGGAACAGAATGGCACAGCATATCGGGCAAAGGGGGGCGGTAGCTGGCCTGTCTGACCCGGCGTTCGTCTTCTGCCCAAGCGGCGCGGGGCCCACGGGCCCCAGGGTTGGCGTCCCGCTGGGATTCCTCTTGTTCGCCCACAGGGTTGGAGGAGGCCTCCAGGCGAACAGAATGGGGCAGGACAATGAATGTGGGAGACTTGTCGCAAGCTCCCAGCCCCCCCAAATGTGCGCCCGAAGGGTGTGGGGCCCCGTTGGCTCCCTCAAAGGGCCGTCTTGGAGCCGTCTAGGCCCGTCTTGAGGGCGCCGTTTGCCCTGATGGGGCCGTCTTGGTTCGTCGTTGGCCCCTCATGGGCGCGTCCGAAGGCCGTCCTGGGCCCATCGGGGTCCTCGTGGGGCTGTCTTGGAGCCGTCTGGGACCGTGAGGAGGCCGCCTTGGAGTCGTCTTGGGCCCCTCCTGTGCGCCTCCTTGGGCCGTCCTGGGCCCAGCAGGGGCCGTGTTGGCACCCTCTTGGGGCTGTCTTGGAGCCGTCTTGAGCCGTCGCAGCGCGCCTTGGGTTGTGCTGGGTCCGTCTTGGCCCGTCTTGGGGCCTTCCTGGGCGGTTCCTCGGACCCTCCTGGGACTTTCTGGGGCCTCTTGGTGCATCGGACCGCCGAAACGGCGGGAAACGCAAAGGGTGTAACAGTAAACAATGGAAAATTAACGATTTTTGCCAGCTGGGACTCTCTTGCCATCTTGGCCCGTCTTGAGGCCCCGAACGGGCGCGTCCTTGGGCCGTCCTGGGCGCACCCTCCTGGGACCGTCTTGGAATCGTCTTGGGCCGTCTTGAGCGCGCCTTGGGCCGTCCTGGGCCGGTCTGGGGCCGTGTTGGCACCCTCGCGGCGAGGAAGCTCGGAGGCGGGCTCGAGGCCTCTTCGGGGCCATTTTGGAAGCTGTTGGGGCCTCTGTAGGGGCCTCGTTTGGGCTCCTTGGGAGCCTCCTGGGGCCTCTTCGGGGGATTCTTGGCGGCCCCTTGGGGCCTCTTGGGGGCCTGTTTGGGCCTCCTGGCGCCCTGTTGGGGCGGAAGGCTCGGATTTTCGGTCCGTGGTCCCCCCCTTGGCCCCCTCTTGGGCCTGTCTTCGGGCCCTCGTGGGCCGTCTTGAGCGTCTCTTGGGTCGTTTTGGGGCCCTCTTGGGCTGTCTTGGGGCGCTCTTGGAAACCTCTTGGGCCGTTCTGGGGCGCTCTTGGACTCCTCTT